TTGCTTCTTGTCCTGCCATCAGGTGCTTTGGAGAATAGCTTGACTCCCTCTTCTTTGTGGCAGACCCTGAGAGATTGGAAGACTGCTATCCTGTCCCCCTTCGTCCTTCTCTTCATTAAACTAGACATACCCAATTCCAGCAACCGTTCCTTGTATGTTTTAGCCTCCAGTCCCCTGATCATCCTTGTTGCTCTTCTCTGTACTCTTTCCAGAGTCTCAACATCTTTTTTACATCGTGGTGACCAAAATTGGATGCAGTATTCCAAGTGTGGCCTTATCGAGGCCTTGTAAAGCGGTATTAACACTTCACGTGATCTTGATTCTGTCCCTGTTAATGCAGCCTAGCACTGTGTTGGCTTTTTTGGCAGCTGCAGCACACGGTTGACTCATAGTTAGGTGATTCTCCACTAGGACTCCTAGATCCCTCTCTTAGGTAATCCTCAACTTACAGCTGTCAATCGTGACATGGGCTGGTTTTGCCGAAAAGCAGAAGCAAAATGCCAGTTTCCAGCAAAAAAACATAATAAAACATGGTTATCGGACTGTGGGATGCTGCAAAGGGCTGTAAACGCGTTGTTAAGTTAGTAACGCAGTTGTTAAGTGAATCTGGCTTGTCAGACGGTCGCAAAACAGGATCCCCTGACCCCGGGATACTCATAAATATGAGTTAGTTGCCAAGCGTCTCAATTTGAATCACATGACCCTGGGGACACTGGAAACAGCCGTTAAGTCCCTTTCTTCAGTGCCCCTGTAACCTTGAAACCGTCACTAAATGAACTGTTGTGAACCGAGGACCCTGTACCATATCACCTATGCATTTTTTATTGTATTTTATTTTATTTGGTCTTTTGCAACTTCTTTTTATAGACCGTTCGGTTTTATTGCAATCCGTTTCCGGTTCTTAGCAGCTTTTTTTTTTTTTTTTGAACTGCTGTGGGAGTCGGCCTTACATCAGAAAAAGGAAAAAAAAAAAAAAGCGACAACTTTTCAGTTCCAAGTAATAACAGGAATTGCTGTATGTGATTAGTTATGACTTCTTGAAAAAAAAAAAAAAGGAGAAAGGGGTCATTTTAAACGAAACAGATGGAAGCCATTATCAACTAGCCGAAACGGAGCACGCGGATATACCATTACGAGTTTTCAAAACAACGCCCATAACGATCTGCAGGCATTGTGTTGACCTGCCTGTAACTCCACCTTATATTCTCTAAGGAATCCGTTGTGGTTTGCATTGTTCCTCGGCTGCAAATTTCACAAAGATTCCATCTCCGCTCCAGGGAAATCTTTTGATTTTCCATTGATTCTGCTCTGTATATCTCAGTCCTTTCAGCCCCCCAGAGAAAATTGTGAGTAAGAGGCAGGCCACTGAAAAGCCAGCATAAAGGACTGCCAGGAGCTTTAAAAGCAAGGAAGGCAAATTATATGTGTCCTAGAATAATGTTGCAGGATTCAATCTGAGTCGGTCAACGGGACCACAGGAATAGAATGGAATGGAATAGAACAGAATAGAATTAAGGAATAGAATAGAACAGAATTAAGGAATAGAATGGAATGGAATAGAATAGAATAGAATCTGGAAGGACCACGGAGGTCTTGTAGTCAAGTCCCCTACTCAGGCAGGAGAACCCAGTCCTATATAATTTCAGACAAATGTTTGTCCAGTTTCTTCTTAAAAACTTCCAGTGTTGGAGCACTCACCATTTCTGGAGGCAGGTTGTTCCCCTGGTTAATTGTTCTCCCTGTCAAGAAATTTCTCCTTATTTCTAGGTTGCTTCTCTCCTTGATGAGTTTCCATCCGTTGCTTCTTCTCCTGCCTTCAGGTGCTTTGGAGAAGAGCTTGATTCCCTCTTCTTTGGGGCAGCCCCTGAGATACTGGAACACTGCTATCATGTCCCCCCTCGTCCTTCTCTTCGTTAAACTAGACATACCCAATTCCAGCAACCGTTCCTGGCATGTTTTAGTCTCCATTCTCCTAATCATCTTTGTTGCTCTTCTCTGCACTCTTTCTAGAGTCTCAACATCTTTTTTACATCGTGGTGACCAAAACTGGATGCCGTATTCCAAGTGTGGCCTCACCAAGGCCTTGTAAAGGGGCATTAACACTTCACGTGATCTTCATTCTATCGCTCTGTTAATGCAGCCTAGCACTGTGTTGGCTTTTTTGGTTTATTCTTCCAAGCTTTTGGGTCCATTCTCAAGAATTACTCTCTCTCCGGAATATGTGCCCTGGGCTGTTCTATGCATTGTATTTATATGGTTTCTGGTTGTGTATAGCTTCAAGTTGTTGACTAGGGTGATGACGCTGGCTATTAAGTCGTCAGTTGTTGGTTCCTTGTGCTGCCAAACCGTCGGCTCCTCCGGCTGCTAGCTACACTGCATTCAGAAAGCGTTCAGACCCCCTTCGCTGTTGTCAATTTTGTTATGGTGCAGCCTGATTACTACGGTGGTTGAAATTCATTTTTCCTTCTCGTTAACCCATAGTGACAAAGGGAAAACGGAATTTTTGAAATGGCTGTACATTTATTAAAAAGAAAATACATAGTGCGGTGGTACTGAATGACATGGGGCTCGTTTCCCAGGCTTCAATCATTTCTGTAGCTGTTTCGTTTTGGTCCCTGCTCAGCCAACAGTCTTGGTAGGTATAAAATTGGGTGCATGTCCTTCTTCACTGCAGCATGAGGCTATCAATAAGTTCAAATCTTCTCATCTATACGCTCATGTTCTCACCATCTGGTGTTTGGCTTCCTCCCTATCTGTCCCACATTAGTCAGAAGGGCAATCCATACAGGGAATCTGATAAATTACAGTACTTAAAAGCAGCAAAGATGATCAGGGGACTGGAGGCTAAAACACACAAGGAACAGTTGGTGGAATTGGGTATGTCTAGTTTAATGAAGAGAAGGATGAGGGGGGACAAGATAGCAGTCTTCCCGTATTTCAGGGGCTGCCCCAAAGAAGAGGGAGTCAAACTATTATCCAAAGCGCCTGAAGGCAGGACAAGAAGCAACAGATGGAAACTCATCAAGGAGAGAAGCAACCTGGAACTAAGGAGAAACTTCCTGACAGTGAGAACAATTAACCAGTGGAACAACCTGCCTCCAGAAGCAGTAAATGCTCCAACACTGGAAGTCTTTAAGAAGAGACTGGAAAGCCATTTGCCTGAAGTGGTATAGGGTTTCCTGCCTGAGCAGGGGGTTGGACTAGATGACCCCCAAGTTCCCTTCCATCATCATCATCATCATCATTATTATTATAAGGTAATTCGCGCTACCAGGAGAACATCTAATGATAGTCCAAGTTTGCCTTAAAGCAGACATATCAAACACAAGGCCCCGGGGCCGGATGCGGCCCGCGAAGTGGTTTCATGTGGCCCATGAAGCCATCCTGGAAAGAGTGAGGGAATGGCCCCCGCTGCCTTGGCCCTGGCCCAGGCCGGCCGGGAGCCAATGTACAATTTTGTGGTGGCCATCTATGCTGAAACGCATTCAGTCTTAGCTCCACAAGGCCGTCTGGAAACAATGAGGAACTAGCCCTTGCCGCGTTGGCCCTGCCCCCTGGGTGCATGCTGGGGAGGTGTCCCCCTTTGTGAGGAATGAAGAAATGGACCATGCCTTGGCGCTTGCCCCGGTCCCGCCCCCTTCTGCCAGAGACCCCCAGATCTGTCCCACTCCTGCCCAGGCCCCCACAGGCACCCTTGACACGAACGATGTAGAGTTGACCACACCCACCCAGTAGGCCACACCCACCCAGTGGGCCACACCCATCCTGGCCACACACACCCCCTGAGGGCAACCGCAATGCTGATGCGGCCCTCAATGAAATTAAGTTTGACACCCCTGCCTTAAAGTTTCTGCTCCTGGTGTACTTAGTTCAAACCAATAATTGGAGCAAATAAAGATCAACGAGTGAAATCGAACCTGCAGCTTCTTAGTTTTGGATGGCCTTCAGCTGGACAGAGGTGGCCAAAACATGCGAAGGATGACTGAAGATATGGAGCATGCTTCTGGTATAAGAAATCCCATAGCTATGTGAGGATAGGAAAGTACAGGTGGTCCTCATTTAACAACCGCTTGTGCAGTGACTGTTCAAACTTGCGGTGGGGTTCCGAGTACTTACGACCGGTCCTTAAAGTTCCAGTTGTCGCTGCACTCCTACAGTCACCTTTTTGCGATCTGGGCGCTCAGCAACTGATTTGGATTTTTAATCAGGATAGTGATTTGCAGCCTCCACTGCTGGCTTCCCAAAAAAAAATCACTGGAGAAGCACACAGGAAGTCAGTCCTGGCCAGGTGAGATATTTAACGACTCATGGTGATCTGCTTGCCGGGAGTTATCGTAACTGCCATTGCTAAATGGCATGGCCACATGACCTCATGCTTAGAAACAGAATTGCTTAGCCATGGAAATTCCAATAAAGGAGAATATTTGTAGCTCAGGGCTGAAATGAGGGGCCCTTGGTGCTCTCTGAGCTTGGCTATTTTCCTGCAGACATTTCATTATCTGACTAGGTAACATCATCAGTGCTAGAAGGGAGTGGAGCTTGCAGGGAGGAGGAGGAGGAGGAGGAGAATTATGGGGTCCTTGGTGCTCTTGGAGCATGGTGGTTTTCTTGCAGACATTTCATTACCAAACCAGGTAACATCATCAGTGCTAGAAGGAAGTGGGGTTTGCAGAGGAGGAGGACGACAACAACAACAACAACAACTGTGGGGTCCTTGGTGCTCTCTGAGCTTCATAGTTTTCTGGCAGATGTTTCATTACCCAAGCTAGGTAACATCCTCAGTGCTCATCGCCATTATCAGAGCACGGATGCTGTCACCTAGTTTGGTAATGACACGTCTGCAAGAAAGCCACCAAGCTCAGAGAGCACCAAGGACCCCCTCAGTGGAAATTCCAATCCCAATTCCTGTCCTTAAACGAGGACTACCTGTAACAGCCTCCTCCCTCTCAAGCCTCCATGCTTCCAATCCAGAAGAGTAAACTTGTTTAGAACGAACATACCTGTGCAATATTTTTGTTCAGAAGGAAGACGCCATAATCAAACTGTAGTTTCTCTCCTCCTTTTAGATATAGTGGAAATCTGAAACAGAAAGAAAGGGCAGTGTAAATAGATGATAGACGCTGTTGCTGTCACCCTTTCCAATAAGGGAAACTGCACGTACACACTCTTTCCAGAAAACGTAGGTTTCCTCCTGGTAGCAATTAGAGCAGTCCAGCCAGCAACACTGTGGCCTACTACAATTGGTAGAATCTCTTGTGGGATGTAACAGGGTCATTAAACAATGTACAATGATACATTTGCATTCAACTGCTTTGAAACCCCTCGGATTTGCTACTCAAGGCATTTCGATGCTACAACAAGTTACACAAATCTCCTCCAGCGTAGGGAAAACATCTACTTTCCTAAACAATGAAATGAAATACTGTTTGTGACAAGAGGAAACAAAAGCTTTCAGAGGGAGCCGTTTTCAGAATTTCTATTAAAAGGGCTGGCTCTTGAATTGGATTTTGCCCGACCACTTGTGCGAAAAACCACGGAACAAAAAACAGGGGTTTTTTTTTTTGCCTGCCACAGATGTAATTGATTGATGCAAGATACACTGCTTGTTGGGATTACAGTATGAGCTCAGGCAGTCAGAGGAAATTGTTAACCCTCTTTCGTTAGCCCTAACCCTTGTGGGGAGGAAGAAAATGGGCGAGGCGGCTGAAATAAGTGGGTAAAATTGACTGGGGGGGGGCGAAACTCACTAGCAGGGAAAAAAGAAAAAAGGAACCAACGGTCTTCCATGTTCTACAGTACTTCTTGACTTACAACCACAATTGAACCCAAAAGTTCTCTTACTAAGCAAAACAGGTGTTAAGTTGTGGACTTCAACTCCCCAAACTGCCCCATTTTATGACCTTTCTGGCCACAATGGTTGTCTGAAACGGTATAGGGCAGGGGTAGGCAACCTTGGTTCTTTTATGACTTGCGGACTTCAACTCCCAAAATTCCTGAGCCAGCATGGGGGAACTATGGCCCCTTCATGACTCGTGGACTTCAACTCCCAAAATTCCTGAGCCAGCATGGGGGAACTATGGCTCCTTCATGACTTGTGGACTTCAACTCCCAGAATTCCTGAACCAGCATGGGGGAACTATGGTCCCTTCACGACTCAGGGACTTCAACTCCCAGAATTCTCAGCCAGCATGGCTCAGCTTGGAAACCTCTCCCTTTCCCCTCAGCATGACTGGCTCAGGAATTCTGGGAGTTGAAGTCCACGAGTCATGAAGGAGCCATAGTTCCACCATGCTGGCTCAGGAATTCTGGGAGTTGGTCCACAAATCATAAAAGAGCCAAGGTTGCCTACCCCTGGTATAGGGATTCCTGCCTGAGCAGGAGGTTGGACTAGAAGATCTCAAAGGTCCCTTCCAACTCTATTATTATTATTGTTGTTGTTGTTGTTGTTAGAATTGTTAAGTGAATCACTGCAGTTGTTAAGTTGGTAACAGGATTGTTAAGTGAATCTGGCTTCCTCACTGATTTTATTTTTCAGAAGGTCACAAAAGGAGATCACATGACCCCTAGTGACACTGCAACCGTCATAAATGCAGGCCAGTTGCCAAGCGTCTGAACTTCGATCACATGACCACAGGGATAGTACAATGGTCATAAGTGTGAAAAACGACCCGAAGTCACTTTTTGCAGTTCCACCGTAAATTTGAATGGTCACTAAATGAATGGTTATAAACTGAGAACTACCTGTACAGACAACATACGGATTGCATCTAATACTTGATCACACACCAGGGTTTTCTTCTGTCTGACATACAAACACAGAAACAGATGTTTCAATTATTAGAGGTAGAATCAAGATCACGTGAAGTGTTAATACCACTTTACAAGGCCTTGGTAATACGGCGTCCAGTTTTGGTCACCACGATGTAAAAAAGAGGTTGAGACTCTAGAAAGAGTGCAGAGAAGAGCAAAAAAGATGATCAGGGGACTGGAGGCTAAAGCATATAAGGAACGGTTGCTGGAATTGGGTATATCCAGTTTAATGTAGAGAAGGACCAGGGGGGACATGATAGCAGTGTTCTGATATTTGAGGGATTGCCCCAAAGAAGAGGGAGTCAAGCTATTCTCCAAAGCACCTGAGGGCAGGACAGGAAGCAACGGATGGAAACTAATCAAGGAGAGAAGCAACCTGGAATTAAGGAGAAACTTCCTGACAGTTGGAACAATTAATCTGTGGAACAGCTTCCCTCCAGAAGTGGTGAATGCTCCAACACTGGAAGTTTTTAAGAAGAGACTGGACAGCCAATTGTCTGTAATGGTGTAGGTTCTTCTCTTGAACAGGGGGCTGGACTAGAAGACCTCCAAGGTCTATTCTATTCTATTCTATTCTATTCTATTCTATTCTATTCTATTCTATTCTATTCTATTCTATTCCATTCCATTCCATTCCATTCCATTCCTTTCCATCCCATCCCATTCCATCTCAAATAAATTCTTCTTCCTCCCTGTCTCCTTCTGTTTTTCTCTCCTTCCTTCTTCCCTCCCTCCCTCCTTCCCCTCAGTTGGACCTGTGCCTCATATAACCTTCCCTGCTAAAGGTAAACACTCTATTCAATCCACTTGGGCACATTTGGGCTGGAAGGCCACAAATGTAACTTCAGCCCACTTTGATTTCATGCAGCCTTTTACGATTCTCTATTTACTAGAATCTCTAACCTAGAAATTACCTTGGAAGCCACATAGTAACCCACATCCCAGGGACTAGTCCAGGGGTAGGCAACCTTGGCTCTTTTGTGACTCGTGGACTTCAACTCCCAGAATTCCTGAGCCAGCATGGGGGAACTATGGCCCCTTTTATGATTTGTGGACTTCAACTCCCAGAAGTCCTGAGCCAGCATGGGGGAACTATGGCCCCTTCATGACTGGTGGACTTCAACTCCCAGAATTCCTGAGCCAGCATGGGGGAAACTTTGGCCCCTTCATGACTTGTGGACTTCAACTCCCAGAATTCCTCAGCCAGCATGGGGGAATTATGGCCCCTTCATGACTTGTGGACTTCAACTCCCAGAATTCCTCAGCCAGCATGGGGGAATTATGGCCCCTTCATGATTTGTGGACTTCAACTCCCAGAATTCCTCAGCCAGCATGGGGGAATTATGGCCCCTTCATGACTTGTGGACTTCGACTCCCAGAATTCCTGAGCCAGCATGGAATTCTGGGAGTTGGTCCACAAGTCATGAAAGGATCATTCTTCCCCCACCCCTGCCTTAAATACAGGTAGTCCTCAACTTAGAATGGTTGATTTAGCAATTGTTCGAAGTCACAACGGCACTGAAAAAAGTTAAGACTGCTTTTCATACTTCCAACATTGCAGCGTCCCCATGGTCATGTCATCAAAATTTAAAAAAAAAAATGCTTGGCAACTAATTCATATTTACGACGGTCGCCGTGTCCCCGGGGGTCACGTGATCTCCTTTTGCGACCTTCTGGCAAACAAAAGTCAATGGGGGAAGTCAGATTCACTTAACAAAAGTGTTACTCACTTAACAACTGCGGTGATTCACTTAACAACTGTGGCAAGACGGGTCATATAATGGAGTCAAATTCACTTCACAACCGTTTCACTTAGCAACAGAAATTTTGGGCTCAATTGTGGTCGTAAGCTGAGGACTACCTGAATGATAAAATGCAGCCTCAAATTCTTGGACAATTATCAACCTCTCAGCTAAAATATCCAACTTAAGTCTCAGAAAAGAAACTGAAATGTTGGATAAACTTTCTTACATCTTGTCTCTCTCTTTAAAATGATGCATTTTTGTCCAAAGAGGTTCTCAGGCTGAAATATTAGAAACAGAACATGTGAAAACTTAGTTCACCACAGAAGTATGTAGTGAAGTCACTAGGACTAAGCTGCCTCAGTTTGATGCATATGTGAATATTCTTTATTTTGTGGATAACAACACCCTGTTGGCAAAAGCGATGATTTATTACACCTCACTAGACTTTAGCCTAAAAATACAAGAAAGTTTCCCCGCAATTTTGGCTTTTCTAATGAAGCAATCAGCTAAGGGTTCTTCCACAATCATTCTTGGGAGCCATCATAGTCATAACTGTGGAAAAAATAATAATAACATTTGGAACCAAACCACTTTCATTTCACCTATTCGTCTTTTTGATTGTGTAACTGCTCTCGTTAAACAAACATTTCCAAAAATACGTTCTCCCTTCGCTTCGTAGCTTGCGCTGTTGCTCGGTTCGTCTTGACGTGTTTCAATAGTTTGAAAAAGTCAATATTTTCAATATTTGAAAAACTCATAACATGTCTTCGTAGACCTGGCTGGTGACTCAAATGTTAACTGCTAAAACAAAGCTAAAACAACTGTAGGAGCTGCTATTATTATTATCGATCATCGCACAGTCAGCCAGATGTTCAGACTGGATTTGGCATTTTGTCTACCTATCGAGTCCTTACCCAGGTTGTTGTTGTTGTTGTTGATGTTATTATTATTATTATTATTATTATTATTATTATTATTATTATTATTATTATTATTATTATTACTATTATTAATCATTGCACAGTCAGCCAGATGTTCAGACTGGATTTGGCATTTTTGTCTACCTATCGAGTCTTTACCATTATTATGGATCATCGCACAGTCAGCCAGATGTTCAGACTGGATTTGGCATTTTGTCTACCTATCGAGTCCTTACCCAGGACCTGGGCTAGGCAGATGTGGATGTTTGATGGTATTACAGATATCGTCGCAGGATGGAAGCAGTTCCTAATAAGGCCGCCTTTTGCAATTGACTAATAGCGAATTTGTCAATGCCAGTGGTGTTCAAGTGGTGCTCCAGTTGTTTTGGGATTGCACCCAAGGAGCCTATGACTATTGGTACTACCCTTGCTTGCTTTTGCCACAGTCTTTCTATTTCTATTTGTAGGTATTTGTATTTTGTTATCTTCTCCAGTTCTTTCTCTTCTATTCTGCTGTCTCCTGGCACTGCCACGTATTATTATTATTATTATTATTATTATTATTATTATTATTATTATTATTATTATTATTATTATTGATTAT